CACCTGTTTCTCCCGGGGCCCAGCATGGGCAGCGGCAGGCTAAGCTGCTCCTTTTCCCTCTTGAGATTCATCGGTTCCCAGGCCAGATGAGACCTTTGCGTTTCCTATAAACTGCACTTGGGCCACCCCACCAAGGGATTCAGGAGCCGCCCCACGGATTAGTACAGTGCCCCCAGCCGGCAGCCTGTTTTTACAGGTGGTGCACATCTGCACATGCCTTGGTGCACAGAACAAAATTTATTCTGCACATGGATGGAAGAAAATACCGGGAGCATTGATGGCGACCATCTTGTCTGAGCTGGACAGCACAGGCGAGAGACCTGCCCTGAAACGATTCCCAGAGCAGAGCTTTTAGAAAAGCATCCAACCTTAACTTAAAAACTTGGTTACGGAGAATCCCCCGGCGCCCCTCGGCAGGCTGTTGTCCATGCTCAGTTACTCGCTGCTTTTTGTCTCACTTCATTTCCTAGGTTCTGGATTGTGTCAGACCTTCCTCCGCCAGAGCGAATTGCCCCTTATTAACCCTTTGTCCCCCGGGTAGGCACACTCAGGCGGTGTTTGTCACCCCAGCACCTTCCTTCTCGTTGTTGCACAGAGAAGCTTGACTCCTTGGGGGTCTCGCTCTCGGGGCAGTTTTCCACCTCGGTGATCCTTCTCGTGGCTCTTCTCTGACCCCGCTCCAGTTTCTCAGCCTCCCGCCCGAACTGGAGGCTCGATTCCAGCCGTGGCCGCGTCAGGGCCAGATACAGAGAGAAAATCGCCTGTTTCCCTACTTGCAATTCCCCTGTTCGCACCCCCGACGGTGGCTTTAACCCTTTTGGCCACAGCGTCCCGCTGGGAGCTCGTGTCCAGCTGCCGTGGCCTTTTCGGAGTCGCTGTGTCCCTGGTTTTCATTGAGCTGTAGTAAGACCTGGATGGGGTGTGCGCCTCCAGTTTCCTGAGCCATTCCAATCCCTCGGTATCAGGGACCTGACCCCTTCAGTATTCGCTGCTGCCCCTGCTTCTGGGCTGCCAGGGGTCCATCTCGGCTCAAGAAACATGGGCCCCTTTGACTCCCTTCCCAGCATGCCCTGGGACAGTTTGGCAGCCCTTTTGTGGAGGGCTGGGGGGGGACATTGGAGGAGTAGCAGTCTCTTGGGGCACTGGCCTGTGGCAGGGCCATTCCTGGGGGTGGGGAGGGGGTGAGGCTTGGGGCAGCTCCCTTGGGGCCTGGGGCAACCTGCCCCACTATCGCAAGTCCTGCCCTGCCCCCGCTCCATCCCTTCCCCCAAACCCTGCCCCTGTTCTGCCCCCTTTGCCCACCCAGTGCAAGATAGGGGATTATCAGGGGCAGGGGTTGTGGGGCTGGGATGCTCCCCTTCCCGCTGCCGTGGAGAAGCGGAGCGCAATGGGCGGAGCAGGCTGCCAAAACCCCCACCCCCTCCTTGAGGGGTGGTGGTGTGGGGGGCTAGTTCCTTGCTGCTACGGCTGCCCTGCACCAGGCCCCTGGTAATCCCTTGGGTCCCGTCCATAGGAGAGTTGAGGCAGCTGCTGCGGAGCCTGGGGCGGCTGCCCCGAACCGTCCTATGGATGGGCCGGCTCTGACCTCCTCGGCTGCAACCTCCCCCCCCCTCCCCCCATGACGTGCTCGCGCCGGCTTTAGCCTCTGCCCTATTTTGAGCCGGCTGGCTCGAGTGAACAGGGGAGGGTTCGTCTGCGCACGGGCCCCGTGAGGAGAGCGGCTGAGCCGGGCCCACCCGGGCGGGGAGCCCAGAGGGTGAAAGGGGAATGCTGCCAAGCTGGTGCGGGGTGGGTGCTGGACGCCCCCGCCTGTTAGAGTTGACGAGGACGTGGGTGTTCGGATCCCGGGGACTGGAGACACTTAAGGACAGATTTTTCAGGATACTTAGGATGCCTCGTTCCTACTGAAATCAACAGGAATCAGGTACCTAAATACCTAGAGAAATCTGGCCCTTGGTGACTGGGCCTGGAAAAGAGGAGAACAGCATTGTCCTGCCCTGTGAGCGCACCACATTATGTGGTTAAGGGGCAGGGCCTTTAGGTAAATCCTTTAGTAAGACAGATTACAGCCCCCAGGATAGACCCCCACGCGCACCGCTTTTGTTCCCCTGGAAGAATCGTGGTTAGCAGTACGGGGCCTATGACACACAGTGAGTCATTCCTCTTCCATCCAGCAGAGAGCGATGGACACGGATGCGCTCCCCCCACCCCACCCCACCTTTTGTTACTGCAGGGACAATACATTCATAAAGCGTTAAAGATAAAACCCCGCCCCCCCTCTCCACTCCCTCCCTGGTTGTGGTGCACGGTGATGACTCATTATGCAAACCACAAGGGCTGCTCTCTGGTCGGTTCCCTATTTTCACGCCTCTTTCAGCAGGGAGCTGTAGACGGGTCACTTTCCCTCTGGTGTGTCACTTGCACATTCGGGTCCCCTGCCCTAGCTGGAGGTGGCTGGTTGGGGGGCTCCACTCGGCCCGGGGAACAGGACTTTGAAATGGTCGCTGGCCCTTTAAAGGGGTAATCGTCCCACGGGTTTTAAAAAAGGCCCTGTAGAAGATCTTAGGCGCAGCAGTGACTCGCCTCCTGCCCTTGAGGGGTCGAAGGGTCCATCTCCAGCCTGGCCCCGTCCTTGGACGCGTACCAACAAGAGAGCCAAGAAACGGGGCCACGGGGCCCTGATAAAACAGGCTTTTTGATACACACCTGCAGAGCTGGGTGGTGCTGCCCCGCCCCCCCCCAAGCAGGGGGGCTCACAGATTTGCCAGACCCCCGGGCATGGTGGGAGAGGGAGCGCCTGGCTCTGTGCTCTTGGAAGGGGCGGAGCCTCAGGCAGAAGGGGCGGGGCTGAAGGATAGCCTCCTCTTGATCCTTCAGCCCTGGCTGGGCTCTGA